GCTCAGGTGGTCAGGCTGCTCTGCTCTGCTCTGCTCTGCTCTGCTCTGCAGCAGAGCTCCTGTTGCTCAGGCTGCCAGAGGGGAACTGCCTTCTGGCCTCAGCCTGGCTGCTTATAAAGGCCAGGCCCCGCCCCCTTCTGGCCCGCTGACCAAATTGGTTGCCCCGGCAACCCTCACCTGCACTGCCCTGAAGATTGGCAGCTGGGTCCTTATTACCATTACCAGTAGCGAGCACCCTAGTGCTCTGCTACACACCTCCCTTCTTAAGTTCGAAACCCTCAATAGGAGTGGGGCGCGTAAGTGCCCTGCGACAGAGTCGTTATTGATTCCAAAATGAACATGGCCCGCCAATGTGAAGATGCAGTCAGTAAGGCCAGCTGCAACTTGTCATGCATCCACAGATGCATTTCAAGCAGGGCCAAGGTGATGATCCTCCCCCTCTATGTGACACTGGTCAGGCAGCAGTTAGAGTACTGTGTCCAGTTCTGGGCGCTGCAGTTTAGAAGAGATGTGGCCAGCATCAAGGGGGTCAGGAGGAGAGCCACTCACGTGATCTGGGGACAGCAGGGAATACCCTATGAGGCCAGGCTATGGGACCTGAACCTGTTCAGCCTTCATAAGGCTGAGAGGGGTCCTGGTGGCCGTCTATAAATTTACCAGGGGGGACCAGTGGGGAATGGGAGAAACCCTGTTCCCCCGAGCACCTCCCAGAGAAACAAGGAATAATGGCCATAAGTTGTTTGAGAGTAGGTTCAGGCTGGACATTAGAAGGCACTATTTCACCGTAAGGGCAGCTAGGATCTGGAACCAACTTCCAAGGGAAGTGGTGCTGGCTCCTACCTTGGGGGTCTTTAAGAGGAGGCTTGACAATTACCTAGCTGGGGTCATATAAGCCCAGTATTCTCTCCTGCCCAGGGCAGGGGGTCAGACTTGAAGAACTACTTAGGTCCCTTCCGACCCTACATCTATGAACATGCATATGTATCTGGGACTGCAGCAAGCTTGGTGCCCAGGAACAATAAACTCCGGCGTGAACTGCACCAGAGTCTTCAGCTGCATTAAGTGCACATGTAGACGTGCCCACTGAATGCCAAATCAGTGCCAATTACATTACTCTTCCCTAGAGAGTGGTAGTTCACTGCATTAGCCTGAAGTTCAGCACGAAAGGGGGTGGGGTGGCACCTTATAGACTAACTCATTCAGAGGCATGAGCTTTCAGAGGCTGCAGCCTACTTCGTCAGATGCTACGAATGGACTTGCTACTCTGCCACATCAGCCTGCTCAAAGAATAGTTCACGGCCACGTAAAAATGCATGTTGTGGCTTAGAGATATACATGAACATTTGCACCCAGCACTTTATCCACTACTGAAGTGTGGCCACCTCTGGGGTGAAGCATGGCAGTTGTTCAGCAGCATGCAGCAATAGTGACACCATTCAGGACGGGAAGCGAAGGCTATTGTATTTCTCAAGAACTAGAGGGGGAAGAGAAGTGCTGCAGACAGCACGGGACTTGGCTGCTATGTTGGTAGCCCAGACTACCAAGAGCTGACTTTAAAAAAGACCTTTTTAAATAGGAATTTTTTTTTTTTAATTGCATGAAATAAAACTTGGATGCCAGCATGTGCAGCTGTGGGAAAAAAAAATGTTTCTTTGTGTCTTTGGCTCATGATTCACCTCACTCATTTTAAATGTTAAGTAGTATTTTTTTTGTCTGGTTCTACTGATCTGACACAGGAACTTGCACCCTGGAAATGTGAACTCTGCGCTGTCTCGCTCCCACTGTATTGGTTAATGTCTGTAGAGGGAAAAGGCTAATTCCCTCTTTTGGCAAAGCAATGCATAGCAAAGTGCTTCAACAACTTTTACTCCCCTCTGTAGGGAACAGAAATATATTTAGCTGCTGAAGCATCTGCCCTGCTAACCTTATCTCCCCATTTTTTTCCCCCCATGCACTTTTGGCCTCAACTGAAACCACTTTAAATTCTGCTTACGTTGGAAGTCTCTGGTTAAAGTGCTCGCTGCACTCCAGCTTACAGTACCCACACAGATATTTATCCTAATCAATATTCTGGCAGTTTGAGATCACTAACGAACATGGTTGATGTCATCTGAGCCAGGCCTCCCAAATACTCTGGAACCTGTATATTAATCTTCACATAATTGCCCAGAGGCACCTGCTGACCGACATGGCCCTGCAGAGTAAGTTACTGTAAAGTTGACAAATGATTTTAACAGCGCCTTAGTGGTCACCTGAGGACGGGCAATGTGCACTACTGTAACCTGGTATTTCCATTGCACTGTGTGGTTTAAATGACTTTAACTCTTTGGAAGCGCTGCATTTTCCCCGTAATGGAAATACTTAAGTTATCCCTTTTGAATGCCCAGAGGTACCTTTACTTCTCTTGGTGTTGCTTGTAGCAGTCTAGTTCAAAGCCATTAAAGCATGAGGGAAATGAGCTTTGCAGTTGAGGGGGGGAGGGGGATCTTTCTGCTCTGGATGATGGATCTTTTTGCATTAGAAAGGTGCAGGGCCAGTAATGATGACGATCTTTCATTTACAGACTTTAGCACCTTTCCTGCTAAGGGAATCATCAGCGTCCTTCTCTGGGCTGGTTCAAGCATCCCTTTCCTCAGATGTAGTGGCCCCAGGAGACATCAACCAAGGCTGAAGTTCTGGCCCACTGACTTCACTGGGGAACCTCTCCTTTTGCTCTAGTTAGGATCAAACATGCAGACAGCAACATTAACTTCTTCAATGCACGGGGGTCAAACCTTGTCCCATGACAGCCTTTGGCCATTGACTCTAGTTGAATCCAGGTGTGATCCAAGGTGTTCAGATTCAGTTGTCTCTTGCTGGAAAACTAAGGCTACCTGAACTGCAAAGAATGTATTGATGTGCCTTTTGGGTTTTTTTTAAGAGAACCCTCTAAAATATGCAAGCAATTTGCTTCACTTTCTAGCTTCATGCACTAAACATTATTGAAATCTATCCCCAGTAGGGGCGCCCTCTTTACGATCAGTACTGGAGTGGTTAACATTTCTATGGAAGCCATGATGAAACTGCATATTAAATAACAGAAATGATAGTTCCGAGTGTGCATTTGGAAGAGATCACTGCTTGTGGGGCAGATGTAAACCATAAGCCCTGTGAGGCAGGTAGTGAAAACACGTTACCGTTTTTCATCTCCGGCCAAAACAGAGCAGAACTGAGGGGATTTTTTTCCAGTCTGTGGACAATGAAAGGAGAGTATTTTTCCTCCACGTTTCCATTGGAGGACTGACATTCTTCCTAGCAGTTAACGGAGTTATGTGTGACTTGCTGTCCTGCCTTGAAGTCCTACTCTTAGAAGTCGGTGAAAGAAAGGGACATCGATATGATGGAAGATCAGGCCGAGTATAAAATCCACATCTGCTTCTTTCACAACGTCCTCAAAATGACCCTGTTCCTTAGAAGAGGGCTGCATGCAAAGATTGTCTAAGGCAGATGAAGGATTTGTGCTGACAGCGTATTGCACAGATCATCAGCAAGTGAGAACAGGAAGAATGGACTCACTGCTTGGGAGACTGTTTTAGTGACTAGTTCTTGAATTCTTCCCCGTGGTATCACTCCTGTTGTCCAATGTGGCGACCTTGGTGAATTCTTTGCCATTTCTTTGTCACTGCCAGCTGTTTGTGCAGAGGATAAAAACTTGGCCTTCCAAGGGCTTTGTAGACATGGCAAAGTTTTATAGCAACCCTGCGACCATCTGCATAGCAAGACTTCCTAGCTGTACAATTGGGAACTACCTTGTAGATCAGGACTAGAACGTGTAACCTCCTGCTCCAGAGCGCCTTGAGCTAAAAGAGAATTTTGCCTTTGTTGCCGAGTTGTGAGAAGCATTGATTTTTGGTTCACTGACAGAGACAAGCAAACGAAAAAGAAATCTTCACTTTGTGTTGACCTGGAACATTTCTTTCAACCCAAAACAAAATATTTTGTTCTGTTTCTATGGGCTTATGATTTTTTTAACCTTTTCTTATTGTTCCATTTAGGCACATTTTGAAATGAAACCTCATTTCAAAACAGCAAGTTGAGAACGCTGCATCTTGAAAACTACTTCAACTTTTTCAAATGATTTGGTGGGGCAAAAGCTATTCATCAAATCCAGTTGTGATGTACCCCCCAAGTGCATGTTTTGTGGAAATTAAACCATTCATCTGCAAAATCATACATCCTACTTGGCTCTTCTTGTAGGGCCATCTTGCAGTTTATTTCTGAACCCAGGCAGACGAGGGCAGTGCTACATATGCCCACTACTTAATTCATTGCAACGTTGGTATTTTCAGTTGACTTAAGGGAGCAAACTACAGCACAAATGCTAAGAGAGCACAGCCAGAGCTGAAGAAAGGATCAGAAGGGAGGAATCCCTGCTTCTCAGTCCCAAGTTAAAACCAGAGCTTCATTTACCTCTACTTTTGTCATGCAAAATTGGTCGATGTCAACTTCAGCTAAGCAGGTTTGATTTCCGTGTTAGGATTTCAAAATTCATGTTCCTGTGAGTTATTTCAGCTTTTTTTGTTTTTCCTGCATAACACCGGAGAAGTGGTATTGCTGAGTTTGGGAAAGAGTTACAGAAAGCAGCTCCTCTTTCTTCACAGATACTCCCTGTTGCAAGCTGTAAGGCACAAGTGGCATAAGACAGAAATGGCTGGATTGCAGTGTGGTGCCTGTTCCTCACGGTACATGGGAGATGATGCATGCATTGCCCAAGGGATGTCAAATGTTACGTTTGGGACAAAAACTTCAGAGCTGGCTAGGAAGTCTGGATGCTTTGGCTTTTGGGTGCTTTACTTGAGATACCTTGAACCTGATTTTCAGAGGTGCTAAGTATCTGACTTTCCCTGCAACTTCAGTCTGTCTGACCCCAAAAAGTTGGATTGAGTGCGTCTCAAGACACCCAAAAATGTTTGCCTCCAGTTTCACTAGTCATTTCCAAATATATTGACAGTAGGAATGAAGAAACCGGCAGGCTGCCGTGTGGCTGAACTAGTACAAGGAAAAGGAAAGAGTGCCGTTTTGACGGATTTCCTCCACACAATTTCCCCTGCTGCATATCAGTTTTTGCTTCTGTTTTTTGTTCTTCTGCTTCCTCTCACAGGGGGTTGTTTGAGCCGTTGGGACAAGAGAACCATATCATATTTGCACCAGGCCCCTCGTAGGACATCTTTTTCTCTTCATTTCTACAAAATTGTAGTTTGTAAGTGCTAAGAGTGGGGATTTGACATTGTGCAAGTGTCTGTCTGTTTTGCTGGCAGACAAGCGCCACTTGAATTTTTGCGAGACTTGTATATCCCCAGACTGGAGTCTAAGCTCAGATTACCAGTATCTTCTAGGGAGTGAAAAGCAAGCCAACAGGCTCTTCAAGTCAGAGATCCTGGTCCTCGGTATACTTCCTTCTGCTCTGTGCAGTCTGTAAGTTTTCAGGCGGGTCCTCAGAAATGAAGTTTCATTTGGTTTGCATAAACTGAAGCTCTGGGCCACTGGTTTTCCCCCGTCTCTACACAGAGCACTGCCTGTTTTTTCTCCGTTTGGTTGGTTTTTATTTCAGATTAAGAAAAGCAACAGCAAGCAACCAGGTGCAAGTGAGGGAGAGAAAACACCAGCGATTCGGTCCATATTACGTGTTATCTGAGCTGATCTAAAATCCCACCTCGCCGCTGCCCTTCAAGACAGGCAGAATGCTTCAGAAATGTAAAGGCACCACACAGAGAGAGAACCGAGTTGCAGCGGTGCTTTAGCTCTGTGAATGCAATGAATGATCAGCCTATTTGTTTTGAGGGACAGCTGTTCAGCTGGAAAGCTGCATCATGGCTCTGCATGCTAACTGCATTTCAGTAACTTAGCTGACATGACTAGGTGTCCTCCTTGCCAAAGTTACTGCACCAGATATCCATCCAGATGCCTCCTGCACTCCCAGCCACGAAAGGCTATGGGCGCTTTGGGGTCATGTTTCTCTTTCTCAGAGACTGTAGATGATCTCAGTGTGGTGCAAGGTTTGGGATAGGATTTCAACATTCACCAGCTGGTCCAAACATGGAGATTTCTTTATCAGATCCCCAGCCTGATCAAATTATTGACTCAAGTTAAGGTAACCTTGGATGGACAGGGATACGTATTCCCTCTATAACTAAAGCCCCTTGCATGGGGAAGGTAGGGTATAGTCCCTTCTGAAAAATTCACTTTGGAAAAAACAGCACAAACTGGGAAGAGCCAGCAGCCATCCAGCACAGCGGGAGCCCTCCCTACCCAGCAGGCACTCATCTGCTTGTAGGATCAGGCCGCAAAAAAATGAGCAGCAAAGTAGGCTAAGTGCCAGGGTTCTGTGTCAGAAATCTTTTAATGATGCGCTGAAAGATGGCACCTTCTTCTGTCAGCTGTGAGGCTTGTTCTTTTGGAGGCAAAAGACCTTTTTAAACAAGTAGCAATCCCACCAGATTTCAGTTGTCACGATCCATCCTCTGTAACAGATAGCAGCAAAGCATTAGGCATCTGGTTTACGGAGCCTGGTTACCCTGCTTTAAGTATACACTTAAATGTAGCATCCCTGCCATCCACATGAAACAGGACTATTCTTTACAGTATCAACCATAGCGCAATAAAATCCGTCTGCCAGCTCCACAGCGCTCTTATACCATCTGCCTTATAGCCTCTTTTTGCTATTGTGTTTGGAAATCATAGGGCTGATGCTTCTAAGGGGTGGGGGTTGTTGGCTACAAACCAGAATGATGTTGCAGCATAAGAGACAGATCCCAACTACTCCTGCAGCAAGGACTGGGGTGTTTTCTGGAATGAAAGAGAAATTCACTCTTCTTTTAAAGAGAGGCTGGAGGCTTTACAAATACATGTAATTATCTCAGCAAACTATTTTGCCTCGAGTATTATCCATCACGCTGGAGTTTTCCTTCTCCTATAACTGTAGATATTACCTTCTATTTTTCTCATGGCCATAAAAAGGTAATTCTCTTAAAATGCTTTCTTCCAGTCCTGCTAAAAATAAGGATCATCCTGCCACTGCACCCCCTCTTACAGTAATTACACTTCTGCCTTATACCTCTTTCAATGATCATTGCTCAGGTTTACATGGATTAGGCCTCGATGGAATTATAGCTGTGTACAGAGGCTGGATTCCCTGTGTTGTTACATGTACTAAATCGTTTTAGAAATGTAATTAAGCATTTATCTTGAAGAGAATGCCCTGTCTTTAAAAGAGAGGATATCTTATTTGAACCCAATTAGAAAATAAACTGGCAGCTTTTAAATATTTACCTTGAAGACAATGGCTTGCCTTAAAAATGCAGACATCAAAACTAAACTGCCCTGGATATCTTAATTGAAGCCAATTAAAAAAACAACCTTCAGCTTTTCTGCTGCTGTTGTATGGAATGGAGTCACTCCAGTTTGGCATCACTGGTGCTTTATTATGCTTTCTGATGTTACTTAATTGATGGCGAACACAGGCTCACCCAACCTTTTGCAGCCCAGGTTGGGTGCAAAATATAAAAGGTCAAGGGGTCTCTAAGCCAGATGACGTTGTGTTGTGCCATTGCTGTCTTACTGTTTAGGCTGCAACAAAATGAGAGGAACCCTCCTTCACAAGTCACCAATGGGTGGTTCCTTCAAGGTAGAGGCAATATCCCAGTAAGTGAGCTGGTTCCTGGAACTCCTTCCCTGTGAATCTGTGCGCTCTGGTAGTCCCTAGGCCAGGGGTAGGCAAAATGCGGCCTGGGGGCCGGATGCGGCCTGCTAGGCCATTCTATCAGGCCCCAAAAAACTTAGTAAATTAATATTTATCCGCCCTGGGCTGCCTGTCATGTGGCCCTCGATGGCTTGCCAAAACTCAGTAAGCGGCCCTCTGCCCAAAATAATTGCCCGCCCCTGGCCTAGGCCCTAGGGAATTGTGGCTGAATAACCCAAATGAGAGCCACTCCCAGGCTGGGCAGGAGCACAGAGTGGTGGAGCTGTAATGGGGTTGCTGGTTCTGTTCTTCCCTTCATTCCTTCTCCCGAGCTGTAGGGAAGGTGCTGGGGAAAGAGCCACGTTTGCTAGAACTCCCCTCAGCTCAGAGCCTTTTGACTGCCCGTCCTGCTCTGCCCATGGCCCCCACAACCTGGCAGAGAAGCTGGCAAGGGGGTGGCCAAAGCCTCTCTTGCCCTCAGCCCACCAGCCAGGAGCCAGCTGCAGGGCAAGGAAGGGACAGGAGCTCTTTTGAGACCCCACTCCAGAGCTGTTCCTTGGGCTCCCAGGGGAAGAGTCTGAGGCAAGTATGAAGATAGTGAGTGCCCTTGCCTCTTTCCTCAAAAGAGTGGACTAGATGAAAACCTTCTCATGACGATGGTAATGTTGGAGTGATGTGGTAGCCGCGATGGTCCAGGAGTTATATGAAGGGCAAGGATTTTTTAGGGTGATTTTTTTTTTTTATTGCACCAGCTGCTGTTGGTCTCAGGTTGGACTGAAGCAACAGCAAACGAACAAGTACCAGTGAAGGAATGAAAATAGCAGTGATTTGTTCTGCAGCACACGTTATGTGAACTGATTTAATATGCCACCAACTGCAGTTGGTCCAATAACAAATATAACTCTAAGAAATCCTTTCCTCTTGTGATGGCAGCCACCAGCACATGGTGTGGACAATAAAGTTAAGCAGGTCACTGTCTTGGCAGCTAGGTTCTCCTGAGTTCTGCTTCTAGCAATGCCCCACTTTGTGACGTTGTCTCAGTGATCCTCACTTATAATATGGGAATAATACCTCTTTTGATTGGGGGAAGAATTTAGGATGGAGCAAGGTATTTGTTTGATGTGATCTTCTATACAAAGGATTTGCATGATGTCTTGTTTCCCTGAAAGCTATGTGAACATATAAATAAAAAAGCTAGAGACAGTTGCGCTGTTCAGTTCTAAGCCTCTTTCCAGGCAGCACTTAGCCCAAAGGCACTCTCTCAGGTTTTTCTTTGGGGCTGTGGTACCAGTGTTTCTATAACTGTGCCTTGTGCTCCTTCCTGTCTCCTCCTTACTCACACACCCAGCTGCAAAAAACAGTAACAGGAAAACTCCTTCACTCCCCAACTCAATTACTGATGAGTTGTCATGGCCTGTTTTAGGCAGTAGCTTCTATTATTTGAGCCACCTCATCCTTAAAGGAGCTTGATTGTTACATTAATCCTAAAACAATTATACCATACTAGTAATTATGCCAGCATAGTAATACTTACCTCTCTCACCAAGATGCTGTGGCACTTTGAAAGACAAAAAAAGTTTCATAAGGATGAGAAAGAAAGAAACCCTGGTGCTTTAAGAGAAAACCCAAGGCTGACATATTCTACACCCTTCTCTGAAATAAATCGTGTTGCTCATTGTCATAGACAAGACCCGGGACTGCTGCTGTGATGCCATGTGGGAATCCCTTTGTTCCGAGTGCTGCTGTTTCCTCGTAACCACATAGAAATCTGCCTTTTCTCAAGTTGGGTTGCTTTTGGTGTTTTGGAAAGAGAAGTTGTAGTGAAAATAGATACTTTTCTCTATGTTTCTTTGTTCCTTGTTTTAGTATTAACCCCTGCATTCTGTAACTTTCCACCCGCATGGTACAGGATGGCCCACTACGCATGTCTTACATGTTGCCCAGGTTTTGTTTTGTAATGACCAATCAAAATGTTACACGCCAACTAAAAATTGCTAGCTCAATAAAAGCAGCGCGCGCGCTTTGTTTAGGGTTGACACTGATCTGAGCAACAAGCTCCTCTGTTGGCCTGCTTGCAAGCAATAAAATAGAGTTGGACCCAGCCTGAAAGTGTGACTCTCTTCTAGAGGTGAATTGGACTAGCCTCCAGGGGATAAAATCAGTAATTTATGCAACAAAGTTGAGGAGACTCCAGGTGCAGTGATTTCTCTCCAAGCCATTTCTGTCACCCTCAGTCACCACTGAGTATTGCATGCTGAGATACATTGATCTGCCTGGGGGTAGTTGGGTTCAAAGTAAACCACTGTATTCTTTGCGGAGGGGCAAATGAATCACAGCTGTGCGCTGCGTGCAGGGACCTCATCTTTTCATCACAGCTTGGATTGGGGCAGTCCCACTGGAGATTTAGGATGGAGCCCTGGTAGGAATTTCTCCTCGGTAGTGACCACACGGAGCGGCGCGTGCTTGGAGAGTCCATCATCTAAAAGATTCAGAGCCAGATGGGGTGACGCTTGCTGGGCTCAGGGCAAGCCAAACCACAGCAGGCTGGCGGGCAGACGGCTGCAGGGAGGAACCCACCACCCCTCCTCGGTGCTTGGGGCAGGGTGGAGCTCTGCCTCCCAGGAGGGGCTGAACATGGCGGACTGGGAGGTGTCCTCTCAGGGCACTTATGCAGCAATGAAATGGTCCAGGCTGGGAGGCAGCCTGCGCATTTGATGCTCTGGGCACGGTGCAGCACAAGTGCTAGTTCCTTGGGATGTTAGCAAGGGGGAGCACTGCATGCTGGGAAGGACCGTACCCCGGGGACACTGAATAGGCTGGAATGCTGCCCCTCAGGGACATGCTCTGGGGAGGGTGGAGCATTGCATGCTGGGAAAGACCGTACCCCTGGAGTACTCCAGCTAGGATGGAGCATTGCGTCCTGGGAAGCACCATGCTCTGGCTTGGGGACCATTGCATGCTAACAAGGGCCGTACCCCGTGGCCCTCCGGCCCTCACCGCCCCCAGAGATGCTCTGGTTAAGGTGAAGAGTTGCATGCTGGGAATGCCATGCCCCAGGCACGCTGCGGAAGCCCCGCCCCCTACGAAGTGCCACCCCCGGGGAGCCCGCGGCTCTTCACGGCAGCCCCTCCCTTCACACGCTCCGTTTGAACGCGCCGAGCACCCTCAGCCAATCACAGTGCAGAAGGGGCACTTCAAGCGGCCAATGGAATGCCTGCTCGGGGAGACGCTCCTCCCACCCCCCACTGGGCAGTGGAGTAAACAAGCGGGCGGGGCCAGCCGCCTGCCTGACGCCCGGGGAAGCCAATAAACAGGCACGCCCCGCGCCGAAGCCCCAATGAGAGGCGGGGAAGGGCGGGGCGGCTGTGGAGTGGCGGCAGTTGGGCTCTCGCAGCCGTCTGGCGGGGCGGGCAGTTGGGCGAAGGGGCGTGGCTCGCGGCGGGGGGCGGGG